GCTGCTGCTCAACTTGGCTGCTGAACAGAAAGCATCACCAGCCTCCGACCACTTGTGCGCCATTTTAAAACAGTTGGCCGCGCGTTCATATAGGGAGATTTGTTCTTCCAGAGAATCAGATCGGCTAGGTCAGAAGGGCACGAAAATGAAATGAAGGTCTGAGAAATTGGAAAGCGGTCGAAAGACTAAGGTTGGTTTGGCATAGCAAAATACTTCTTTGCTATTGGGCAGGAATATTTGAGCTCATGACACCTTGGACTAATTTGGTGTACTGTAGGAGGTGTAAAATTTAGCAAATATAAAAGAGCGTACAGGAGCACAAGCCTGTTTGGAATGACTCATCCCACTATTTGGTTAGAAAAAAGTGGACGTCATGAGATTACCGATAACAAAAAGGGAAACTTGAATGTTAATTTATCGCTTATTAGCCATCATTAGTCAGCCATACCCAGGCCCAAGTTTGACAGCACCGTGCTCTATGGGAGTAGATAATTCCCGCAACAGACATCGATTTACTCTTATGAACCCCGCTAAGTAAAGTTAACCAGATTAGAAAGTGTTTCGGCTGACGCGGAATACAGCTGCAGTTTGAATACCGGGTCAACAGATGTTGTCTTGGTGGCGAAAGAAAGTGCTAGCAACAAGTAGCTGATTTCGAACAGCATCACGTACCGATCGAAGTCAGTTCGCACTACATTCTCTGAGTATTTGATTGGTCATTGTAACGCCATTATTGCGTTCAATCGGAAAAACATCCCAATAACATTCCTTTCAGGCCGGCGTGACATATATCTGAATCACCCTAGTCAACAACTAATATAGGGCAGGGGCAAGTAACGGGTTAAGTTCCTGACCGAGTATATACCTTATGTTTGAAGACTATGCAGTATAACCGGCCCAGAGGATCCCATGACCGTAGCCTAACACAGTGGAAAAATCTACGACACAGACAAAAGTGTGATGCTTACTGCAGTAACGATATATGAGGGCTTGGTGAAGCGAAACTGATGAGTTACGCATCGCTGGGGCAAAGAAGCCCGCTCAAGGGAGCAGTTCAGAAAAACGAGATGCGATCACCAGAACAAGGTGTTTATTTGTCCGAGATTTCGGATTCTCACTTCAGACCATCAACAGAGAGTCGCAGTTTAGAGCGAAGGACGCACAACGGTTGCAGTATTTGTAGGGTGCAGTCTCCATACAACCACTTGCCTACTACAATTACCATCTTCCGCATTTACGGCCAGTGGTCTAAATTTGTGATTACAGATTCGATTGTGGATCCGAAACATAGGGTAAATAAACGTCTTGTTTCAGCAATCATAGTTTACTAATTCAACTCATATGTTCACCACACCAAATGCATTCTCTACCCAATACTGAGTAATTGTCACTGATTATTT